ATGGCTACGACGACTTCCTGAAAACATCCAGCAGGTTCTTGCTTTCGGAGACGACGACATCGACATAGAAAAGCTCACCGAAATCGCGGATCGCATGTACGAGAGGTCAACACCTCAATCTGTCGCTTCCACTAGCAGAATACCAGACACTCACGATAGAATACAGACTCTAGAACACAAAGTCGACACCTTACTGAGTCAGTTAGCAAAACTGACTACACGCACACAACCAAGTCGTTCTAGAAGCTCGTCTCGTCGACGTCTTTCTAGGTCCCCTAGCACGTCACGACATCGCGATAATATTTGCTGGTATCACCGTAGTTATGGAAGCAATGCACGACGGTGCCGTTCACCTTGCAACTTTCAGACTAAACCAAAAGATATATCGTCATGTGTAAAAAATACTGTTGACAATCTACGATCTAACAGTCGTTTGTTTTATGTAACAGATAAAAATACCGGTACTACATTCTTAGTCGACACAGGAGCAGAGGTGAGTGTTCTCCCTCCGTCTACCCAGGAACGTCAGCATCCTGACCCAGCAGTTACGCTCCAAGCTGTTAATCAGTCCATTATTTTTACATATGGAAGTAAACGAATGACTTTGGATTTTGGTTTGAAGAATACCTACACTTGGTCGTTCATCATTGCAGACGTTCCAACCCCAATCCTCGGTATCGATTTTCTACAGCAGCACATCCATCCACCTCTAACCAGCCATCTGATCTTCACTATTGAGCCACAGAGAGGAGAGGTATCAATGAATAGCTACAGAGGGCTATTGGAAATCGTTCTGATGACCAATTCGACAATTCTCTGAGCTATGTGGTGTAAGCACATTCTTGACAATAACAGGGAAAATTCGTATGTTGTTTCCCACACTCATTGTTGTAGATCTCCACACTGATTTCAGAGTAACCGACACTTCCCGACTGTCTAGCCTTCCCAATCTGATCCTGGGTGATTCCGACATCCTCATTTATGCAGTCTGCCTGAAAATGAAGTGATACCGCTCACGTCAGACGAGTGGAGGAGGTGACATTACTAAAATTCTCCCACTTGATAGTGATTGTTGCTGTTGTTGGCTGGCTGGCTGGCTGGTTGGCTATCTTCAGCACTCCTGTGTTCTCTATGCTCACTTGAATTCCTCCATATCTCAGCTGCCTCTTCTGGAAACTCGTTGGTTACTGTACATTGGATAAGTCCATACTTGATATTCGACAGGCTACTGTGACTCACTGTCAATAACTAGATGAAGTTTTGAACACAATTTATTACTCCATAGCCCAATTTATTTTAAATTTTACTCTTCATATATCTGGTGAATGCGTGGCGTCAGCTTGATAGTAAATTCGTTGGAAACGGACACTTCGCTGAATGTTTTATTCCGAACAATTCGATTCTTCGTAAAATTGCTTAGTGGGAATACAATGGTGACTGACACTCACCTCCAATCCCATATGAGTCATGTGGTTCACCTCCAAAGTGACGAACATCGATTGAATTAATTGTCTACCTAATTGTCTTGTAATCAAATCTCGCTTCAGATATGAATTAGACTGACACAGTCAGTCAGCTGCGAAATACCGATTAGGAATTCATGGGAAGTCCACGAGCCTATATTCACTGATTCTCGACCAGACAGCATAAATCGAATTCGAATGCATTAACTGTGACCAATTCATTCATAGGCTGTAACAAATTGCAACACTCTTGATTCACTGGAATGACTTCGATTGTCATGGTGGATGAAACATTTGTGTGGAATGTGCACATGGAAGATTTCTCAGCAGAGAGGTATCACTTGTCTGATTGTTTTCTCATCGAAACGTTGATTTAGAGACTCCGGTTTACCACAACCTGTCCACATTTTCATTTTCATGATTTGTTTTAGTCATAAACATGTGTTAAGTCTGCTTCGGTGATGGTATCAAGCAGTGATCAGACACAATGTGATCCCAATGATTTTAGTTTTGAGAGGAGGTAGTGATATATTTTTCCTTCGAACTGGGCAACGTGCCATTTCTCAATTCGATCCTCAGTGTTACATGCTAATCTGTCGTGGTATCTATTCAGAGAGAGAGAGAGAGAATAGAAGTGGTCTTTTTCTGTTTTTCATTTTTTGTCTCAGCTGAATCTCACAGGCTACACATATGATCAGGTGTTGAGCAAAACTTATTCTTAGTGAAGTTTCAGGTTTCAGTTATGGTCAATTTCGGTTAATTCATGGTAATTGATAGGGATTTTGGTTATTTCACAGAAACTGTTGGCGATTGTTGAATAATGTTTTGTTAAACACGCTTTCTGGACACAAATTCTCTCCTCAACTCCGCGAACAAAATTCATTATCAATAATACATAACTCCAGTTATCTTCTCTTCTCTCACGTGAATTTATCACCTTCATGTGATTGGTGGAGTGAATGTCATTCGAGGACCCGTTCTCTCCGGTCACCATGCTCTAACTCAGTGCAAAAGTCACCCATTCCAAATCACACTCTAATAACCAACATTATCCCTCTTCATGTTTCCTACAAAATCCACGGAAATATGCGATAATCATGTGGTAATCCGAGTCAATACAGATAACCATGCAAAGATATATTTCGGCAGTCAAGAATACATGAAGTACATCAAGTCAGACGTATTCTGATTAATAGGAAATTACTGAACTATTGATTTTTCAGGATTTGTTGGATTGGTTACAGGATTTCATCGTGAGATGACATCACAAGTAACCCATCCAGTTCGGCAAACACAACGTCATCGAAAATACTAATTGTTATTTATACCATTTTATAGTTCATTTTGAACAATCTTCAGAGGTGACAAAGTTACCAAGTGATTCAGGAGTCATGTGTAATAGGGCATAAACACTTGTTGTTCATGTTGGATCATCCGTAATTTTACCGATAACCAAATTTTACCATACTGATAACAACAATAATAATGTTTGCAAAAGTACTAAACCCAATCCATATCATGAAACAACCTACCTGTTGATATGAAGTAAAATAACGCAGCAAACTATTTCCGACTGCATTCAAAGAAACTGGTCAAGCATGACAAACTTCACCTTGGAAATATGCTCGTACAGAAAGGATGATGTCTTTTAAGGTAGATTTAGTTTCGAAAACTCACCCAACAATCGACTTTGTACGATATTTATACAAATCCAGTATAGCTATCTCCTTCAAGAGATTATCCTAATTAACACACAAAAAAAGAAATAACAACAGGATTAGGTGAGAAACCGGTGATTATTAGAATTATTTGTGCTTGATGTTAATACACCAGACTGTAATGACTGCAAAAGAACAAAGATCACTATTGTGGTTTTACGAGTTTGGCGACGGATTGATCGATAACTCAAATCGAGAAACATTGGAAACCATGTGGGGGAGTACTGCCAGACAGCTGTCTCATCAACAGTCTAGTTTAGGACTGGCTCTTCGGCAGTATGCCACCACCCCACTGGGGTTCGAACCTAGGACCTACCGGTTACAAGGATAGCTAGCTAGCTAGCTCGTATACCACTCAGCCACTTACTGGGACCCGCCTGATTCAGTGGCCAGTCAGCCGAAGAATTCTATCTTCTACCAATTCGTGATGCATTTAGCACGACCGGAAGGTCCTAGGTTTGAATCCCAGTGGGGTGGGTACATACTGTCGATGATTCTCAAATTAGATTGCTGATGAAACAGCTCTCTGGCAGTACCACCCTCCACCCAGCTGGTTTTCAATGCTTCTCTAACTGAGTTATCAATCAATCCATGGTCAAACTCGGAAAACATAAAGCAAATCTAATTCTTACAAACCAACACTCGTGAAAACTGTGGTTTTTATTAAGATAAGGCGTGAATTATACTTGTAAGCGTCACAAGATGAAAAAATGACGACTTCGATGAAACATTATCTATCTCATGTATAAGAGAATAAATTTTTAGGTGTAGTCACATAATATTTTCTGATTTTACTTAATCATATCCCTTGAAGAGAAGAATAAAAAAGAAGCGTTTCATTATAATGTCTGTGATGCGCGTAGACACTTTTCAGTGACTCTTTCTTCTCGCTTAATAGTAGCCATGGCAACAAATATTAACACATAGGGTCGCTATAGTCTGTGATAGATTGGATCGCGTGTGTAATTCCATGTCTGAATATATCAGCTTGATATGACACACATTGTGATAGTATTATTAGTTGGGGGATTTCATCATGAGCTGATATCGGTAAGAGAATCATTGGAAAACCTGCAAGCAGTAATGGATAGCTGTTTCATACTAGTTTGGGAATCATCGGTAGTACGCAACCACCACAGCGGTTTCGAATCCAGGACCTGCTGGTTACAAGGCGAGCTGGCTCGTAGACCATTCAGCCACTGGGACCCAATTCAATGACTAGCCCATGCATGAATTCTAACTTCTACCAATTCATGATTTAGGCCCTGGATTCAAACTTCAGTGGGTGAGTACTACCGATGATTCCCAAACTACACTGATGAAACAGCTGTCCAGTACTCCAATGTTGGTTTTCAATTACACATAAAAAATGATATCTAAGGGTTGGTTTGAGGAAATTCAGTTGATATCAAAGCAGATTTAGAAATAATGTCAAAGATCTGTTCCTTTTGTAGACAGTTTTATGTGATTGCCTTCTCTGTATTGAGCGTAGATTTAATTATGGAGCTCTCGTTGTCCTTGGCGATGGTGTAATTATTCCTGATGATCCAGTGGGATTCAGTGGGAGGAGGTGAGTCACCTCATACATAGAAGGCTGTGGGTATAATTTTGGTGACCTAACAGATGGGTCCATGCTCAAAGACCTAAAATTACGAGCTCTTATGAGAGGTGGTACACCTTGATCACATGCAAATGTTTAAGGATGTGGAGACAACACTACAACAGGATTTTGGGATTGGAGATTAATAGACAGATTTTGTTGGCTGTTGTAAAACGGGAAACTTGGTTTTTGACATCCAATTGAAATCAATGAGGGAGATTACTGTCGAGATGTACTAATGTATCCCCGTGAAGATGCGTGACCACTTTGTGGAGCTTTTTCATAGCCGCTTGTATCACAAGACTGTATAGGAGTGTTTAACAACAGATTATACTGAGGAGAATTAGAGTAAAAATTCGTGCTACCAAGTGCGCATAAGTCGTTTTGTTGTTGAAGTGAATTGGATGGCATGTTTGGAAGTTGTAGTGGATATTGCAGATGTGATTTTACATCTGAATGCTGTAACTGGTGATTATCTTCTGATAATCCCAGAAGAAGTCCGTACATTGAATTCTTAATATCTATTGTAGGTGGCAAACTGTTCACATTGGTGGCAGTCTGAGTCGATGAACTAAGCTGCTACTCGACACTTAGCAGTATTGGTTCATCAACGGCTGAGGTAGGGATGTTTTGGTTTAGAAAGGATTCACCTGAATAACCTCCTCCCCTAGCATCACTGGTGATAAATTGAAGTGGATACTAGTCTGAGAATAATTTTAAATTACTGCTGACTTATCAGTGAACTCAGCTGAAATAAACGAATCAAGTTTGTACTGGTCATCGAATCCCTGGAGTTACTTCTCTTCGAGATATAAGGAGGTCTGAGACTGTATATTTTATTTCAACTATATTACGGGTCTTAATTTAATAATTTCTGTATTATTTTTCAATCTTTAGAAATAAATCTATATTAATCGTCAGAGTAAGCAAACAATCTCATAGCTCGAACGGCTTTATATTTGCATCTCCTAACATCCTTCAGTGTGAATGGTTGTTAATATGCAATAGTATTGATCGTTTTTATTGATTTCGGATTTAAACTTTCTCGCCATATGGTTTATTCTTTATTAGAATAAGGCATTTAGAAGACAAATTTCGCGAGATGATATCATTTCGTAGTTTCTTTACAACCGCTTCACCACTAACATGGTTAACAATAATAAAATAAAGCTCATGACAATTACTCAGTTAAATAAAAAAAGAAAAATACATACTGATGACCAATCATATTTAAATAGGTCAAGTAGTCAGTTCATGGTAGGCGAAGATTGAAGTCTATTGTTTTTTGTACACACAGTTTAGGCTGTATGTGATTAATCCAAAGGGTTCCCATCACCTGCATTAACCTTGGATTAGAGTTACGTGAAATAATTGTGAAACAGTCATTAATTAGTATTTATTTTGTGACCTGACATTAATTAATAAGTGCTTTGCAATGGATGATGAATCTGGATTTCTATTCAGATTACTGGCATTGGGATTTTCTATATGATTTAGTAGCCATTTTGGAACATGTTCTTTTCGACGACATTGGAACATTCTGTTGGTTCTACCCATATAGGTGTCACCGCAGCATTTGCAGGTGAACTTGTAGATACAGTTTGAAGTAGAGTCCACAGAATTTCGTCCTATAATCCTAGATACAGGGATCGAAAATGTTCGGTATGTGGGGAAAAGAGATGTGGTGGCGTGGAATGTGCGTTTGGTGGCTGACCGAAGTCTTTGAGCTGTCAACTGCATAATCTGGTCACGCTTGAATGGTAGGTTAATAAAGATAGCTTTCTTTGGTACAGAAGCTGTCTTTTCTAGATGTGGTCTATCCTTACTGTGACAATTTATAAAGTAAGTTTTCTGGATAACCATTAGCTGATGAAACTGAATGTATATGTCAAAGCTCATCCATCAGTGTGTCACTCGTGCATATTTTGCTGGCCCTTGAAAACAAACATTTCACTAGGGAACGTTTATACTGGATAGGAACGAAACTGGTGAAATGAAGCTATTGTCCCCTTCATGTCTGTTTACAAAATATAGATCACTTAATCGTTCCATCATCTCTTCTGGTCATTGTCATATCGAGGAAACCGAGTTTGTTATTCGATTCGAGTTCGGAAGTCACTCGGATGTTTGGATGAATACGATTAAATAGAGTAATAAAGTTTTCAATAGATTTACTATTATTACCAATAATGAGAGTATCATCTACATAACGTTTATACAGCATAAATTCTCCAAGCATACCTTGCATTTGTCTCTCCAATTTCGACATGAAAATATCTGCTAACAGGGGTCCAAGAGGGCTCCCCATCGCAACACTATCGATTTGTTTGTATGCATTTTCTTGGAAGGTGAATCTCATATTTTCTGTACATATTAAGATGATGTCTCTGATGTAAGTGACAGGAATAGGTAAGTTTATTTCATTACTTTTGATGTAATCGCAAATGAAATCAACAGTTTCATGAATAGGAATATTGGTGAATAAAGATTCCATGTCAGTTGAACACATAACCTTTTCCTTAATGTTCAAGGTGTCTAGCATATCTGTCAGATCAAGTGAACTTTTTACAGAATGATTTGATAATGAGTCTCTTACAGGCGTAAGGACCTCTGTAATCCACTTTGCGATTTTTTGGTATGAAGAACTCGACATGTCTAAGATGGGTTTCAGTGGCTTCCCAGTTTTGTGTATCTTCGGAAGGCCATTATCTCGCGAAATTTGTCTTCTAAATACCTCATTCAAATGTATCAAAGGGACTAGTTGTTTTAATATTCTTTATTAGTTGGTAAATTTGAACTGTAGTGATATGTCTGTTGACTGTTGATTCATCTGAGTATCAGGCTTCTAGGAATTTCCTGGCATATTTGGTGTTTCCACTGTTTGAAATTTATACTTTTACTCAGTTACATAGGTATCCATAGTTCTCTAAACAATAGGTGATATCAAAGAAATTCAGATCGGGTTTTCTTCGCATCTATCTTATGTTACTGGACTCCAAGTCAAATGAGAACATCCACTTTGACCAATTTTAGGCTTATCATGGTTCATGCAATCTTGTCTTGTTTCGCTGTTGGGTATTTTGGTCTGTATAGTAATGAGTGATGCATCAGAATTTCATCATGAATTGACATCGGTTAGAGAACTTTTAGAAAGCCACCAAGGAGTACTGGACAGCTGTTTCGTCAGTCTAGCTTTGGACTCTTCACAATACCCACCCACTGCCACGGTCTGAATCCAAGACGTTCTGGTTACAAGGCAAGCTCTTAGGCAATTCAGCCACTGGGACCCGATCCAATGGCTAGAGCACGAATTCCAGCTTCTACCAATTCGCGATACGGCGTGACCACTAGCCAATGTCATCGGTGGTGAGTATGCGTCCTCACACACGACCTGCTCTACCCCACTGGTCACAACTTCCCAACAGAATGGTCTATGAGCTGGCCTTGTAAACAAGAGGTCGTGGGTTCAGACCGTGGCGTTGGGTCCATACTGTGAAGAGTCCCAAGCTAGACTGACGAAACAGCTGGTTGTCCAGTACTCCATGGTGGTTTTCCAATGGTTCTCTAACCGACGTCAGCTGACGATGAAATCCTGAAACCAATCAAATCCCTGAAAACCAACACTTGAAAATGAATGATGTGATTGTGCGATATATATTCCAAATGGTTTTTATTAATCTGGCTGTTGTTTCAGAAACACTCTTTATGTATGTGGTAGGACGATTTCTTGTTGGTGTAGTTTGATTCGAGTTTAGAGGTTGAATAGTGAACCAGTGAAAGCCAAATATCGTTGGACAGGTGTTTTATTCAAATTCGTGACAAGTCACCAATGTCTGCATACGACTCCATCAGAGGTCTTTGAACTCACATACTAAAAAGGTTATGATACCAGTCATCAGTGAGGCAACCATTCAACCGCTGAACTGAAATATAGTAATCGCTGAATCCTAGGTTGTGTCACTTTAGCGATACAGTACCACCGTCAGACAGTGCCATCCGTTAGTATTGGTCTTCATACCCAACATGTAGGACCATCTACAGAACTCCAAAAGATCTATCGCATGGTTATTCTTCAGTCAGCGGAAAATTAATTTTCGGATATTTATTTGTAGGAATTTGCTTGATTTCAGCGCAGATTCTGTCGCAGACTGGCATCATTTAGAGGACCACTGAAAATCGAGGCGTTAAACAATCAACATGCTTATCTTGTGACTTAGATGTTCCGGGCTCAATCCCTGATGAATTCCAAGAGGCACATTTTGAGAAGTTAAAAATGAAGGTGGAACGCTTATCCAGTCCTCCTGGATTATGAATAGTTCTCATGTTTGATGTTGATTCTTGACGAAATTTACTCTGAAATTTAAAAAATTGCTTAATACCTAGAGTCTGTGATTATTGAATAGATGTCATGAATTCCTAATAAGAAGTTTTGGTCAGTATGGTCCACGACGTCAAGGCGAAATGGATGGAGTCGTCTAGCGTTAACCGTATATAACAAACTGACAAAGGATAGAAATCACGGGTCATTGGATTCTGATCAGTTGGCTGAATGGTAAACGTGTTCGCCTAGTAACTTGAAGATCCTGGACCCATTCACTATGGGATTCGCGGTTGCATACTTCTTGTTTTCCTTCACGTTCCCCAGTAGAACATAGGGCTTCAAGCTTGTGGCTTGAAGGTTCTGTAGCAGTGTTTATTTTACAGGATTAGGTTGCTAGCCTCATGCCCAACCTTTCCTCTTCACCAGCATTATTTCTGGCTTAGCGAGGTAAAGGAGTGTGTTGGCCGAGGATCGAACCCCGGACCGTGTGCATGGTCGGCGAGCGTCCTAACCGCTATGCCACCGACGCACTGCATACTGCTTGAAAACTCTCAAACCAGGAATAGATACCTGTCCAGTATTCTTTGGTTTTCAGTAACGGTTCTCTAAATAACATCCACTCGTGGTGTAAGTTGGAATTATGCTTGGCTGGCAACCTGAATACGGAAAAATACCTCTTTGAACATCATACTACTGTCAAGTAGTTAAACATATCTTGAAAACATTTTATGTGACAGGCGTTTATTTAAAGCTAATTTGTGTGACAAACTAGGGGAAGAAGTGACTGTAAATCATTTTCTGAGGGAATTAAGAGGTCACTGCATTCGCCTCATTGCTAATTTTAATTGCCATCGTTTTCCAAATTATCACTGAGGAGATGCAGTTGGTGCAAAACTGTGCAGTGGATAATGGTATTGCGTAATTCAGATATATGGTTCTCCTAATAGACGTTCACGAAGAGTTAAAAGACAGCTAAAATATGTTTAGAACAGCTTAGAAGAGAATGGACAAATGAAACCAACCACTGAGGTGGGATACAATATTTGTATTGTATTGAGATTGGACAAACCAAAAGTATGACCTTACGAAACCAATATAATTTGTTTTTTAATAATAATAATTTGCTTTATTCCAGAAACAGTACTAGTAGTATAGCGTGGAATTTTCAGCACATATCTACAATATT